TCACAGCTTCTCGCTAAATGTCCGATTTCCAGGTAAATTCGAACCTTTCCCTGCGGATGCTTCCGTAATACGGACACCTTGTTACGGACAGTTTTCTTGTTACCAAGGAATCAAAATTCATACAATCTTTACCTCAGCGTAAACCATCTTACGTTAAGTTGTTTTACTGTAAATAGTGTGCGATACTAAAACTGACTGACTGAAACTGACTCTGGAACTCGAACACTGTGTCGTACTTCTTTGCTGTTTGTATAAAGGTTTGACTGTATCGAAGGTACAGTGCCTCGTACACTTTGTGCCTCGAGAACCAGTTCCACCAATACGCGATAGGTTTGTAAAACCTGTTCCCAACGATTCTTCATAATCTCCCCACCCCTTCCCCTTGCATCTCTTCTGCTGTAGCTATAACATTCAACAGTTTGCAATATTGGCCTTACCTCTCTTTCTTTCTCTTTTCAGGCTAACCACACTTCACTTGTATGGCTGCAAGCGGATACGTAACACATCTGACCTCAGATTACTCAACCCCTCGCTCACTATCGAGTGTTAGCTTGTTTGTAATCCAGTGACACTGTACATTATTTCTTAGGGGTAGGGTGGGGAGGATCGATACGTCGATGCGTGACTATGTCACATATGTCACACAATCTTTGCTGATGCTTGAAACATTGCGTTCATTTGACTGTATTTCGATGTTATTTTTGTATTTTTTTGTAAACCATCCCCTGCTTGGAAAACGTGGAGAACTGAAAATTGTGCCTGATCACAGGGAATCCTTCATCTCCACGGCTTGCAAGTAATAATTTTGTTGCTCCGTTATTTCAAAGCGTTGTTGATAGGTTTTGTATATAAAAGGCCAAAAATATTTTAATGTAGCAAGTGATTTAAGTAGTCTTAAAATAATTAGATAACTAGAGTATTATTTAACTAGATAATATAATGACTTATAAGAGTGGTAGGAAATTCTGTTTCCTTTATTGGATTACTAGGATCACGTGTTTAGCTTAATGCGCAGGTTCGATATCTCTTGGCTGCTTTGAGTAAATTTCTTGTACCTTAAAGTTTTTTCGGTGTGCGTTGAGAAAAATGTTTCGTCTGGGAACTGAAAACGCCTGCAGAAAAATTTCAGCGCATGTCTGCCGTGTCTGCGCACTGCCCAGAAGGACACCCTCTGGTGTCATTTTCTGCTCACGTAGACGAGAGAAAAGTGCAGGGCTGATGCGGAGTATGTGATTCACGATGAGGTAGGGGGTGGAGAAAGGAGGCCTGGAGGGGGAGGGGGCAGGATTGTGGGAGGGGATTTCGAAACAAATGAATTGTTAAATAAAGTAAATGTGGGTAAACTAGAGATAATTTTCACACAGCTCTCGTAATCCTCTCAAGAATCAAGTGGGGAGCGAGGGCATATGGATGTACAGAATAGTAATTATTTAAAAAAATGAAACAAGAGTGAGCCGAGATTGTTCATTGTGGATTGGTTTTAATTTGAGTCTTCTGGAACTGTGCTAGTCGTTATATCTTATTTTTGTCTGAATGGATATTGTGGCGAAAGAATATTGTGTTTATTGATGTAAAACATTGCTGTGCTAACAAATATTTTTTCAAATCACTAATTTCTACTCATTTCACTCTCGAATTAAAGGACTTCGCTGTTCTTTCGTCAATCCTGGGATTCATTTCTGTAGGGAGAAAAATGAACATGTCATGTGACGGGGGCATTGTTCTGTCCACCAAATACCTTGATATTCAGTCAATAGAAATATCACATTAACTTACGTAGAAAGAGAAAGAAGGATAAGAGAGTTCATTCCCCACACAGGCCTCATTTCTAAAGTAATCCCTTCTCAAGTTATGTTTAAATCATTCCCGGATTTAGAAATGCCCGGACGGTCTAGAAATGGCCAATCCTGTGAACAGAATTTTACTCGCGTGGACAACCAAAGCGGCTATACACGGATTTTCATCCCACATGAAAAGATTCACGCAACGCGCAACATCCTTGAAAGAACTGCAGCCTTTGGGGCTTGTTACTTTCGGGGGGGGGGGGGGGGGGGGGGGAGGCCCTACTTTGGAAAATTTAGCCCGTGTGGGGGATTAAATACTTTTATTCGCTCTTGTTAACAGATATTCTAGACAACTGTTGCAATATAGAGACGTTCTATTTTGAAACACATTCACTGTGTGTTAATTTTGGTCCATTTCGTGACTGTGGGTTTGCGTTCTAATTCGTTATGTCTAGAATGTTTTACCATGATAATTAATTTAAAATTCGCTGATGTACGGCTTTGTTACAAAACGAAGGTTAATTTATGTAAACATCACAGGAAAGTATAGCCCAGTCTGCCTCGTCCTCGGAGAGCTGGGAACGCGGCGCTTTGATGAGAACGAAGATCGTAGTGCGTCCATTTTCCGGATGCAACTGTCCTAAAACTCTACACGCAAAGTGCTCTAAGTTGGGGATGGTGACTGGGTACGCGGCAGCTGCCGAGTGGCTTTCATTTGATAGTTTAAACTCAAGAGTTTTGTCAACTGGACGGAAACCAAACTTGTCATCACTATGTCCTCTTTTACTGCATAGTAAACAACACAAAACATCAAACCCACTCAGGGTTCATTCGAAGCTAAAAACGTAATGAGCTGATGGCTTCTGAGTGATGTCAGCTCGAAAGCATCTATCAAGATTTAAAAAATAATTGAGAATGTGTCTACATTTTAGACTTTTGTACATTATGTTTTTGTTTTCCCACTAAACGCGGAAAATGTTCATTACACACATGGTTATTTTATCAGGCGTTTTATTGATTTAATCTTTTCAAACTGAAATGTCAAGTTGGCAGCTTTTCAGGAAACGAACGGCCATCTAACACTGTGACATATGTAACAATAGTCCAGTTCTGGCTCTCTCTCTCCGTCACGCAACAGTACGGCAGCCGGGAGTGAAGCGTTGCGTGACATATTGCCAGAACTGGACTAAGGACCTGTTTACAAGGAGGGAGGGTTACCCTAGCAAACGGGTTAACCCTAGATGAAGGGTAAAGGATAGCCCGGGTTTACAAGCAAAATTTCACAGGTAGGGTAACCCTAACAGGAATGTTAACAAGGGAAAAAGTTAACCCGCCTACCCGGGTAGCCCTGGCTGCCTTGTAAACACGACGAAGAAAAAAAAAAAAGGAAATGTGTGAGTACCAGGGTAACCCGTTTGCTTGGGTAACACTCTCCTCCTTGTAAACAGGTCCTAAAAGTACAAATGCCAAGCAAGGACAGGCCAAATGTTCACCATTCATTCAACTTACCCATCACGTTTCTCTTCCTCCTCCAGCCAAGTGCTCCTCCGTTACTAGCCTCGCTAGAAGCCTCAATATTTTCTTCCTTTTCTTCCCTGTGTTCTCTTCCATTTTCGAGAGTTTCCTTGTATCCCGCGGATGTCCTGTGCCTTGTCATGATACAAAAGCTGACTAAGGACATGATCGCAAATGTTGTTAATCCGAGTCGCATCTGAGAGATAGAGACACCATAAAACAATTACATAACGCCCCTTGCTGATCAGAAGAAGGAAATATTTGGTAGAAAGACAGGAAATTTCCTGTGATAATTGAAAAGCGCTTCTATTGACGTTTTGAGGACAGCGTGGTAGAGGCGACAAGATGTTGTGGAGTACTGTAAATAAAAATAACAAAAGAGCAAACACCTCACAAGAGACAAATGACGCACTAAAAACTCTCGTTTCGCAGAACACGAGGGAATAACAGAAAGCTAAACTTCAGAATCAAGTGTACCACTAGTACTGTTAATAGTAGTTGAGAGGCTGGTTTACACTAGGTCCTAAGCATCAACAACATGAGTAAGCAAGTAACTGTGTTGTCAAATAGCGCTTTTTTAGGAAATGTTCTGAACAAGAGAAGCTGGCTGTCGACATGTTACTGTACATGTTGCCTATGTTTATGCGTCAGTGGAAACTAACCTTTTGAGAACCGAACCTAAAATGAATAAATATATGCAACAAATTCATTAGCAATTCCATTGTGCAAAATCAGGACTTACGATTTAGTTCTCACAAGCAAAAGTGGAGAAATAACTATTTTCAATTTCAAGAGAAGAAAATCATAAGACCAGGTAAACACTTACATTTTACAAGTCCATGCTCACTTAAATTAAGATGAAATGAGTGAATATTTTGGCAAGCTCATATCGTAATTTTGATTACGGTTATTTCAGACTTTTGCGCGAATATATTTTTTTTTCTGGAATATAAATAATCTTCAGATTAAAAAAAAACAGTACATTACCTCTTATACAAAGTGATTGCCACTTATCCACTCTGCAGTGAGGAACGCTTGTTAATACGCTGAATTAAAAATGAAACACGTCCCCTTTTGTCTGTGCTTTGTTTCAAATTCTCCGTCCGTTTTTATCCATGGATCGCCAAAGATCACTCAAGCTTTGTCTGTATCTTCCGACAGAAACAGACGATCAAGCACTTGATTGGCTGTTTAAGAATGTAATTTATGCGCCAATAAGCATGGCAAATTTGGTTGGAAGTAATTAGCTAGTTTTGCACTTGTTAGCAAAGATAGCTATCTTTCTTTGAAGGAAAATTATTCTTTGAGCCATTGTTCGATGAATCCGGCCAGTGGGTTTTCGTTTACTCTTTTTTAAAAAGCTCATTTTACTTGTTGATACTGTTTTCCTTCTGCGCAAAATGACAAAATTGACCACAAATTAAGGAAAAGTCATTTAATTTCGTGATAATGATTTCATTTGCCAGAAAATTTAGAAAACTTGAATAAGCTTCTGTAGTAAAAAGAGAAAGAAAAAATTAGAATAAAAAAATTATTTTATCAGATAGATCTACCCCGTTTGGCTACAACAAGGTAACACTTAAAGAGAGTTATTAAATACACTTAAATAAAGATGTGAAATATTTCTCTTCTCGCAACAACTGGTCTCTTTTCTTTCAGGGAAATACTAATTTACGGTCGTACTTTTCACAGTCGCTACTTTATTACTCGTAAGATTAATAACAATTAATTGAAGGAAGGGTTTATGACAGATCTGACCACATCTTCCGACAGCAAGTTCTGTTTTGCCGCTGTTTAACTTGAAATGCTCCATTCAGTGCCATATTGATTGTCAATTCTCTGAAAATTTGCGTCATTTCCACTTTTTGCAGCTAATTTGTAATGACCTCTTAATGACGGGGATCAAAAAGACAAGTTTAGATGTGTGTCGGATGATGCCGGTGTAACAATTGAAGCTGATCCGTGATTCGTGTAGATTAAAACGCTCTTCATAACCTTTATATAATCATTGAAACACGGCTCCTGTCCTATTCCGATTTCGCAGGAATTTTTTCGGCAAGGATGTCGCTGAGCAACCCGATTGCCAAAAGGTGACGTCACAGCATTCTTCATGCTCGCGTGATTTTCTCATTGGATGATAAAATCGGCAACTGTTCGGATTATGTTCCGAAGATTTGCCAAAGACGACACGATCCCGACTGTGCCTCAAGTTTTATAACATGTGGCAATAATGGTCAAGGTCTTCGACAATAACACCGTAATTAACGTCTCAAACAGAGCTTGTTTTGATCAATTTGAAAATTAATTTATCATTTGATTTTGCCATGTTTGCCAGAACTTACGCGATCGGCTTACGTATAAAAGATCAAACACATATTAAAATGAAATTTATCTTGGATGTGTAAGTAATATTGAATAGATTTTTCTGATTCTCCCTGGCTTCTGAGATAAAAGATTCTGAAAAACCAAACATACTGATAAAAAGTGTACGTTATAAAGATACCTTTTTTCTTGAGCACAATATCCAGTAAGAATTACTTTCTCTAGGTCCGAATCGAATCCGAATAATTTCCTCTCCATAGACGTCAGTAATGGTTATCAGTTTATATTTCGGTATCAAGCCGTGTTTAGTTAATCTGCCTGCAGACGTGCGGCTGAGGAAACATCACGGGCGTGGCACGTTATGAGAGAGACAGAAACCCTGAACGTTGTTTGCTTGGCGCAGATGTGTTCACGAAAACCAAACATACAATTCACTTGATGTAGGCGTCTTACCGCTTAAGGTCATTTCCCAGGATTGCATTGCGCATCCCTACTGCGCATAATTTCACGCGTGATTAGCGCGCGCGCATTATAAAATGGCGGCTTTTTCTTTACAGCTGGACCTCGCCATAGAGGTAAATCGTCATTTTCTCGCAAACGAGTATGGTGACCTATCATTTTTTTCTGTTGTNTTGTTTTGAATTGAGTAATAAATTTCTCTGTGTAAAATAAATATGGACCAATTCTCAGTGTAGAACAAAAAGCAATCGTCGGAAACGTGGATTTAGCAAGCAATCGTAACTACAATCATGGTGCTATTATAAGGATTTATAAGGGTATAAACAAGGTGCTTTTGCTCCTAAACGAACATGGGGACCCCTCATTTTTATTTCAGTGCAGGTTCTATTTCAGCGGAATGACCTTAAGAAGTACCTATATGATTTGTCCATTGCGCAAAGTAGATACCCATAGTAGAGTTAAAGCCAAATGAATAAACTTGAATTAGATTCGCTGATGGTGTGACGTTTGAATGCACTTGGGAGAATGATAGCAACTTTTAAGCGTCACTCTTTAGAACAGTTTGCGCTCACGGCAATAAAAACTTAACTTTTCAGGTGGCTTTATTTGATTAGTTCTCAAAAGAGAACATCGCTAAGAGATGGTTTGATAAGTATAATATCGCAACATTACTCTCGCCTTTTACATGACATTACCTTTTTTCCTTTGGCGTCCTGGCGTTTCCAAGAAAACAAGATGAAATGAATTGGGAAAGCAAACTATAACAGAAGTTGTTTTTGCTTTGACCGTTGTGGTTTTGATGGAATAGTTAATTTAAAATACGCTGAATACGTGACGGATAGAAATATAAAAATAAAAAAGCATTCTATCGTCTTTTCTGTTTTGTTGTTGTCAATTTTAGCTTCAACTGGAAGCAAAAAAAACCGGCAGCGGTTGAACAAACCAAGAAATAGAAAAGGCCGCGTAGAAACTGGGGCCAGTTGCTGCCGCACTTTTTTCGCGTTTGCTTCACGTTCGGCAGGACGCAGAGGAACAATGCATCTTAGAGGTATTATACGTTTGTGGCTAAAAACGGAATCTATGCGACATTTAAAACTTAACGGGCTTATGCAACTGGAAGGCGCATAAATTAAACAGACGAACTTCTCAGAACTGTGAATCTGTTAACTTAAATTTGTAATCAAGCGACCGACAGTCTCTCTCCCAACAGCGTTTTTTCGTCAACACACTGGTTTTCTGTCTCACATTTACTTAAGCGCACTTAATGTTAGACGTATTACTTGTCTTCCAAAGGTAAATCGGTCAATGACAATAATCATAGTCCCCAAATCGGTTTTCTGTTTATTTCATAGTATTAAAGATACCCTAAACTTCACCATTACTAGTGGAACTTCGGGGAATGGTTAACACGCTCAGTTATGGAGGTACTTCTTGAATCAGTCCTTAGTTTTGCACCTACTGTCTTTAACGAATACTGGAAAGAGCGTAATTGCATGAAATGGAAGTTCGGCGTGAACGTCTCTGAAGTTTTGCGCTCCTCCCCTCCCAGTATAAACTTTTTGAGGGAGAATGACTATTTTACAATCTACTAAAGCTCAAGAGAAGACTTCACATTCTGAGTCACCAATCGACTTTATTTCTTTTAAATGAGCTAAAGTGTCGCATCTATATAAACAACTGTGATGGGTCAATTGGTACTAGAGCCTTCACAGGAGGGGGCTACTTTGACAAGGCAGAGATCCTTGGCAATCAATAACCGTGTTTAGGTTATAAGCTTAAATAAACTCAAACCAACTCACTTTGCGCTACTACAGCTGCCAACGGAAGCATAATTGTGAAAACAACCTAGGAAACCTAAAATAATCTTGCTGGCGTAACTAGAACAAGATTACTTCGAGTTTAATCAAACTGGAAAACCAGAAGAACAACAAAGGCATAAAGAACCTAAATGGAGGTGACTCCCACTTACTGTATATGGATAACTTTACTTTAAAGTTAAATATAGATGAGAGTAAATTTATACACTACAAGCAACTGAGCGATGTTATATCAGATTTCACAGTTCTCTTCTTGGTTATATTGCCAATGTTCACAGTTCATCCTTGTAACTTATGTCAAATGCTTTTACTCGTCTAGTAAATGCCATACATTTTGCTGCGACGCTCATTTCATGCTACCAGTCATCACGACTATACTCACAAGCTCAAAAGTACGGCATGGACTGAAACCAGTAACATTGGATTACGCCGACTAAGCTTGGAACACTCTTTTAAGAATGATTCTTATCTAATTCCAACTAGCTAGGAAGTAATCGCTAATTGGGGGATAGCCGCCAAGGACTTGCCCCAGTGTTAACCCTTTCCTTTCGAGTCTTTTCCGATTTCGGTGTTTCTCTTTCCATGTTATTGATTTTAGTGCACCAAGTTACACTCATAATTAATTAACCAAACAAATCCCTTAAATTACAGATGAATATCGGTAGACGGGATGTGTACTAAGCTAAAAAATTATTCATTTGCGACAAAGCAGTCACTTTTCAAGTAACCTACTGGAAAGGACAAACAGCTATTTTAAACAAACGTTATTGTTCAAGAATCCCATCTGGTAGGAATTTAACCGGTCGGTTATTTACAAAGCATTTTGAAGGAGACACACTAATAGACGGTACCCCAATGGCAGTTCGGTGGAACCCTCCAGGTTACAAGTACAGCGCTTTAACCGCTCGACAACGCTTCCTCCATTATATGTTTATTATTGCGGTAATAAGTCTGAGTAAGACACATGAAGGGAGAGGAGTTATTACCCTCTATTGGCAATGTTCCTAAGGTAATCCCTCCAAAGTTATATTTTTACATTACTCTCAAAGGCGAACTTTACTACCCATTGCAGTTTTTGCAATTGCTACTTTTCACGTCTCGATCATAATAAGTCGACTAGACATTGAGTGAATCACTGAAAACATGGTTGCGATTACGTGAGATGAGCTACGATAATCAGAACGAACATTTTCCACAAATAGACTTAGGCGAAGGCGAAACCTACTATCAAATAACAATATGTTCCCGAGATACGGGAAATTAACTGATAATACGACTTTGCGATCGAGGAACAAAACAAAGTAAAAATAACAAGATAAACAAACAAACAAACCACCAAATAAAACAACGGAACTATGAGGCAAAAGAGGAAAAGAAAGATTGGGATTATAAAAGGCCTCGTTACTTGATAAAAGAATTTATTTTGGGTACTGTGTTTTTCTCAACTGAAGTGAGAGTTTTGCTATAGCTATGACTACAAAAACAAACCTAGTTTTAAAATATTTTGGTGGTAACCCTTTTTGAGCTGATGGAGTAGATTATGGTTCAACCACTTGCACTTTTCCATGGACTGCATCTTTGAAAAAAGGCCAAGTCAGAACTGAGCCATGGGGTATGCTGCAGTTCTCGTACTGGGCTGCAACATCGCTTTCAGATAAAACGCTGTCCCACATGTTCAGTTCTGTCAATTCACCAACGAAAGCTTGTTGGGCGTCGAAACCTCCTCCAATGCTGTCTTGGTCCTGTCCGAGCACCATTACACCTCCAGACGGAATCATGTGACCTTTTTCGACATTAACATATTGGCCTTCCAGTTTGCCATCCTTATAGAATTTGTATTCACCATTAGTATTGCTCCACGTGAAACAATGGTGATGCCAGATACTATCTGCGAGCAGAATGCTGGGAATAGTCCTTAAAATCAATGACAAAAAATGCAAATAAATACATTGAAAAAAATGCGAATGAATAAATATAAAAATAAATAGGGGAATGAATGAATGAGTAGATCAGAAAATGGCAGTGAAAAGCGAATAATTGAAGGAATAAACTGTAAGTTAGAAATTCGCAAAACCTCTCCCGCAAAAAAGTGTAATGTTTAATTTATCAACATAGGCCAAGCCATAAGCCAAGAAGGACAACAATTATTTTCCAATAAATAGTTACGTTTCATAGTTACCGACCCACCACACAAGTGGAGATATTATGTGCTTGCTGATTTATAATTTAAAGTGAGCCCACCTTTATCCAGTTACCCTGCTCAAAACGTCTTGAATAAATTAGCTTTCTTCCTTCAACAGGGGCTTAATCTACCCTAATGGTGCCACAGTTGTTATACACATGCACTCTGTGAGGTACTGTACGATTACCTCGCCTCCGCGCCTAATATATGGATCCCCACCAGCTGACTTGAAAAATAAATAGTCAAATCATTATCGCTGTTTCTGGCATAGCTGATAACGTGATTGACGAAGTTGTCTGGGATCACTTTCAGAAAAAGGCACAAGGAAAATGCGTTGAGGTTAGACGATATGGCTGGTTGCTTCATGGCGTAGTTTTGGACACTTCGATTCTCTGGAAATATCAAGCGGTACCCTAGAAGAAAGAGCGAACTGTCAATTCAAAAGGAACAAAACTATTTTCCGCGGAGCAGCCGAGTTTGGTTAACTTTCGATGCTATTTAATGTTTGTTAACGATGTCTGCATGAACATGGCTAACTAGAGAATAACACTGATCTTATTCAAGAAACGTTGTTTTACATGTAGAGGTTAAAGTTAAGGCATCTCACTTTACACCTTAACAATTAGTGGAGCTTGCCTTTATTATGGTAAATCGTGCCTCAAACATGTTCTCCTCCTGTCGTAGAAAGTCCAAACTCACTGCTTACCGGCCTCGCAATATATATAAATGTTATCTTTTTTTTCTCTATTTTTTTCTTTGAGTCGTTCAGAGTAACGAATACACTGAGAAATCACTGAGATGTTTTACACGGAATCTATAGGGATATGTTAAGAATTATTTTCTTCAGCATGTTATGACGACGCAAACATTGAGTACCGTTTTAGATCCGGGTAGCAAGTTAGACATGGTCGTCTTCGATCTTTGATCGGCTGTGTACTGAAATTGATAACGGCTAAACAATAAGCGCTTTCCCTTCGGTGCTAGGAAAAGAATTCTGCTTCCGCTAGATTCGAACATTTGTAAGATTTACTGCTGCGGGTAAAAGTTCTTCTGCATCGCTTTGGAATGACTCTATCACCATCATAAACGCTCACCTGTTTTACACGACTTCTTTCTGCCTAACCCTGATAAACAGCTGCAGTTCCTATCAACTGATTTTTAAATAATAAAAATAATGTCAGATATATACGGCCCAGTTAAGCACTTCAACGTTATTACTTTCTGGGGACAAATAACTTACTGAAACACATTTAAAAACAAATAGCAAATTAACCTCTCGTTGAGGAAAAG